TGTGGAAAATTTTGTATATATCATTTGTATTAAGTCAAAAAGTTCCATATTGAAGACTTAGATTTTTTCAGTTGTATTGCTGTTATCTGTTCTACAAAAAATTGTTGAACAATTTCTATTAGTCTTCAATCGAAACATTCGTTTCGTTTCTTTTTAGTCATTTAATATCTGAAAATAGTCAACTGTATTAAATCGCTATTCTACACTACAAAACATCACAAATTAACTGAATTTCATCGATGACCATTTTTCGACTATTATTCTCTTCCACTCTGCTTCTTATTGCTTTTTAGTTGTAACACAAAGTTTTGCTTTGACACATCTTTTTTTTTTTTACATAATTTAAAAAAAAATAATGCAATATGATGTCTATATTCAATCATTGGTTTTATTGTTTTTAACGCAAAAATTTCGAATAATCAGTAATTAAAATGAGTCAGTCGGGTCAATACACACGAGTTGCTGGGCAGAATATAGTCTGTGGACATATATACATGAGTCATCCAATCAATGTAGAAATCGATATCCACTAATGCACTTAGTCCAAACTGAAGGGTCAGAAAAAACAAATTTGATAAAAACGTATAGAAACAACAGGTATATTTACCTGCATATTTTGTTTTCAGGAAAAGTGAGTTTCACCTAGATGATGGCGCTACACTACATGCGGAATTCAATTATAGTATTATCAATTTTGTGTGAGAATGAATCGACGCGAAAGATGTCAGTAAATCAGTGCTTTTATTTTGGTTTAGTTCCATGATTATACTGGGTCAGAAGAGTTTGACTTCATAAATAATCTTTATTAGTGATGTACTTCATATGCTATTAATAAGAGCTTCCAAAAATGAGTTTCATCCTAGGTGTCGCCACACATAGTGCATTCGACATTGATTGGTGTTTCCCCATTACTTTTTGCCGTCAGACTACGTACTAATACGTAAGCTTTTCTCTTCAGCTGGCATGGTCTAGTGTTTCTATCCTTTTTTTACCAAACTTTTTGCTTGTCGTAATATGATGTGTTCAGCAAAAAAAACCTTGTCGATCAAACCTGTTGTCGATGGTGAAATCTGTAAATTACAGTTTATCTATTTTTTCAGCTTTAATTAACAGACGTGTCCATAGAAAGCGTTCCCATTTTTAGGAAAAAAAGAAGCAATCCTGTGGGTATTGCACGATTTTTCTGTGTGAAAATTTGTTTTTGATTTCGATCATCCTGTAAGGTATTACACGCCTCAAAATAGTTAGTGTACGAAATGAAAAATAATTTGACATCTGCAGTTTGGACATTGATCCCATCCTCTAAGAATGACGTGGAGATTACTTATCATTGTCGAAAGTATAGGCACTACTGTCACTGCATTAGTTGTAAGTGAAAGTCAAGTTATCCCTGAAGCATGGACTGAACTTTCAAACTTAAGATACCCACAATTTTTTTAAAATATTGTACACTTCCCATATATCTACTTTGAAAAACGTCAGTGCCAAAGAACATCGAATAATGCGTAATGATCATTACTGTGCTCAAATAATTTCCAACATCTTTCGTTTGACTAAACAATCATATTGCTTCTATTTCAATTTTTGACAATATGATTTAATGAAATAGATGATAGCGCTGATGATTTGCTCTCAAGAACACAGATAATGACTAAAATGATCCTGGAATTCGATTGAGAAATGGGCTTCGTAAATGAAATATCTTTGGGGACTATATGGAGTCTGCTGAGTGGTCTAAAACGATGGTAACCAACGTCCAGCCGAACCATGAAAAATTGGCTTGTTTCAAGTTCGAACGACATTATAATTTATTATATTGATAATTCGTATCTATTTTATGGGAAGTCATTGAAAAATTGCCATCATCGAACGAATTATCAAAATAATCAGCGACTATTCTTGAACAAGACAAAACAATTACGATGAGAACTAACTTCTGTTAAACAGTGAATCCATATACCAAATTAACACAAAACACTGTTGAATCACTTTATATTATTGATGTTGAAATGTTTTAATAAAGTTTCTATTTTGATTAGAAAAAAGTTCAATAACGGTTATAGAGTTAGAATGGAGGAAGCAAAGTGAAAAAGTTCAACAGAGTTAAGAGTTCTATAAACGTAAAATTCATTTATTAATGATCGAATTTCAGAAACTGCTTCCACAAAAAAACTTATCAAGAAAAGTTTGTCGATTATCATAATTTCCTTTAAAACAATCGGAATTATCTATTCGAAAATATTTTAGTTTTTCGGAAACTTTATAGAGTTATCAAGACAGTGGACATAAACCTCTAAGAAATTCCTGTGATTACTTCTAAACTACAAGAAAATTCCTAGGACTAATGCAGAAGTTCCTAGGGTACCAATTTCTAGTTAATTTCGATAAGAAACACTCAGCAAAAAGGAACACTATGTAGAAATTTCTGCAAACAATGTTTGATGAAAACAAATTTCAGTGTGAAGTGTTCGTGTGGTTGAAGAAAGAAATTAAACTTACATCTACACCCTATGTTCATTACCAATCGAGATGACTACCAATATTTTGTTCATGGATTTACATATAAAATTGTTCACAAATGATTACTTTTATACTTGCAGATGAACACTTTATGTCTTGTCTCAGCATAGATGAGTTATTGTATTCGTCAGACATCTATGAATGTTTTCGTAAAAAGACTTTAGAAAATAGAAATATTTGATAGTAGAAAGTGTTTTTTTTAGAAATATTGTTCGTTGTTTTAGGTGTTCTTCCTTTTGTTTTTTCATACTTTTATCGGTTTTTCACTATTTCAATTGTAATAGTTTCTTTATATATTATAAGACATAACATGTGATCAAAGTGAATAATGAATAATCGATGACTATACATTAGATATATTCATTCGAACGAGTGATATATACCTATGATGATGTTTGATCGAATAAATAAAAAATACAATAACAATGATTTTTATTCGCGAACACGGTAACCACTAGCCTTCCATTTTTTATGAGCTTGTTTTACAAAGTAATTTATTTGAATTGCTTAATTCTTGTGAAAACATTTGAAACATTTTTTCTTCTAGGAAATTTTCCTTGAGTTTAAAGTAGTTGTAAACATAAGTTTTTATTTAGATTGGATTTTCGATCGCTAGAATATTAAAATACAAAGTAGATAGGAAGATCTGAAGAGGAACGTCTTTGCCGTTTTAAAGTTTTTTTTTGTCACTATTTCTAACAGCATAGAAAATTGATACAGGATAATGTTCATGTTATTGAATGTCTTGATTCCCTTGAGATATGATAGAGGAGTCTTTTTTGCAAAATTGTCACTTTCAAAAACTATATTACGATCATTAAAAAGGCAAAACAAGGTAATCAAATGTTCTAAAATTAAATGAATTTTATTCAAAAACTTTATACTTCGGACGTTACTTCAGTTTTGTCACGTTCAACTTACAAAATATGATGTGATAATAAATAATAAAGAGTGAACGAAAAAAATTGACTCCTATTATTGTTGTGACTTATTTTTGAATATTGGTTTACAGCAATAATAACAGTTCAAATCAATCATAATGAAAAATATTTACCCATTTCATTTTGATTCTGGATGAAATTTCCAATCACTGATTGTTATTCTTCCATTTTCTTCTTGGTTAGTTCCAAACGAATGATTCTTGAAACTCTTAGTTATTACCAATAAAAATGATGTTTATTTTCATAGAGCTTCTGAAGTGATTGGATGTAATTACATCTCATTCACAACACATGAATGAGGCACAGAGGTACTCACATATCAACTGAAGTTAGCATACATCATTTAAAAAAATTTAAAATTATGTGACTCTTTAAATAAATATCAACATGACACACTTCAAAGATTTCTTTCCATGATTTACTAACTTTGATACTTAATCAGAATATGATTTTTTTTCTCCACTAGTGTGTGAATGAGTAGAATTCCGTCACTCATACCCACATCTTATTGACAAAACTCCTTTTCAATTTCTTGAACCATCTATTTTTCTCATGGATTTCGGCATTTTCATTGTACATATGACAAAATTTCAGTAAATTTCTTTAGTATTTCTACTATATTTTTACATAATATCTTATTCATCTTTCTATCAGATCAAAGGAGAATACGAATCTATTTCAGATTTATATGTAATAGGTATTAACTGCAATGGACGCTCAGAATAGGAATACTCTTAATCCAAAATTTATTTGTAGCATTTGTTCATTTATATTATGTGATCCAGTTCAACTGAATACATGTGGACATCGCTTCTGTCAATCTTGCTTCGCTACCCTGAATCAGTAAGTCTCATTATTAGTGAAAACTATTTTCATCAAATTATTATCATTTAAAGAACTGTAATCAAATGTCCTCAATGTCACACAGAAACTTCACGAGATCAAGTAAAATATCATTTTTCCGATTTAATCATGTATCTAATACGGATCTTGTTTAGATAATACTTGATCGAGGTTTCAAAAATGATATACAATCTTTACCTATCATATGTTCACATTGTAATTGGACTGATATCTTAAAAAACTATCAAGTAATATCAATCAATAGCATCTCATTCTTTCATTTTCTATTTGTATCTTTCAAAGGAACATCTTGATCAGTCTCATCCCAATCCAAAGTGTAACTATTGTGATGAACAATTCATTTCAGTTAATCAACTCAATCAACATAAAACATTTCTATGTCGAAAGATTACTATTGAATGCTTATTAAAACATTTTGGTTGCAATCAACAAGTTTATATCTTCTATAAGAAAAAAGATTTTGAATATAATCTATATCTTATCTTGTGTAGATTCTTCGTTGTGAATTAGCAAATCATTATCAAAGTAAACAACATCAAGATTCAATAGTAAATGTTATTCAACAAATGAAATTACAGTTAAGAGATACTCAAATGACATCTAATCAAATGGATACTGATAGTCCTCGAACAACTACAATGATAGAC